TGAATATAGTAAACAAAATGCCTTTTGCATCCCCAAAAACTGAAGCCGTCACCTTCGCTGCTTTCGAAAAGACGTTAGCTTCTTTAGAGTAGTGATTTTCTAAGCCTGGCTTGGATGTGGCACAAGGCCGAAAGTATGGGGCACCCAGTGAGGATCGAACTCATTACTCAGTCGTAATTGATCTAGCAAGACAAGCTTTCTAACCATTACACCACGTCGAGGTGACCATGCTTCTTTAGAGTAGGTGAGGTGGGTGTATGCACGACATGGATTGACTCTTTGTCTTTGGCTCAGTGATGAACCCAACACTCATCCTGGGTTAAGAAATATTCAAAGAAACCACCTTTATCTACCTCAAACAATGTTAGAATTTGTCGTGATGTGCTCAACCTGTGTTCTTTCGATCAGGTGTCTGAAGCAGAAATGTTCGTCATATAATTCTCATTTTGCGGGATATTCTCATCTCTCTCACGGGATATGCGAATAGCCTTGGCTATTTGATTTATAGTCAATTTCCTGTCATCCATCACAATGTGGAGAACACGAGCAATGTTTTTTATCGGTGTTTTTCTCTTGCGGGTCGTCCAGACCTTGGATCACCTTCAAGATTCGCTCTTATCTTCTTAAATTCAGCTGCCCACTTTTGCACTACTGATAAAGCTGGGGCGTTATCCCTTAATGTAACAGCTATGTTAGTGTGAATTTTTTTCAAATCTTTTCTAATCCTACTTTCCTTTTAACCCTTTTAAACACTTGATCAAAACTTCTTATTCGTAGTTATTATTTGATTAGGTATCTACCAATCCGAATTAATTAAAAGACACGACAGGGTTAGTGTTAATAATTATAATACTGACCCATGATATATAGGTCAGTATAAATTCGTTAAGATATTATGGCGTTGTTATGAATGTTTAGCGCTGTCGTTTGAAGTTGTGAAAGTAGTGAATGTTGACGAATAAAAACTAAAACGTTGAATTTGTTCAAAAAATCGACAAACAAGAGAGTGAAACAAAGCGAAGTGGAATTTTTTATTCTCTCGAGTACTTTTGTTTGTGTAAAGAAAATTTCAAGGATAGTTTCTGTAATAAAATGCAAATTCACGGAATTAAGAGGGTTTTGTAAAAAAAAAAATTAAACTTACTCTTTTGGGGTTGGGTGTTGAGTGATGTGTATTTTCTAATCCATGTGTGTGCATTAATGCAGCGCTAATTTTAGCGCCCAATCTCGACCTCGGCGCAAAGTGAAAGAGAGAGTTAACTTCAGGGAATTCACAGCACTGATGCCCCTAGTTTTTTTGTTTGTTTGTTTTTTGTTTGTTTGTTTTTTGTTTTTTGTTTTTTGCGCATGCACAAAAGCTGAAAATGTGGTTGCTGCCACTGAGCAGGTTTTCAACATATGCATGTCTAGCAAAAGGATTAACGTCTGTTACAAACAATGCTCTTGGCTTCATGACCTTTGACATCTGATATTCTGACAAATCAGTAATCCGATCAAGCACTAGAAGTGTATAGATTAGAAATATGCTTGGGATTGCAAATATTCTGCGAAAAGTGCTCTTTGTCTGAGATAGTACAACTTGGTGGAGAACAACCCATAATGCAAGATCTCGGGATGAAAATGAAAACCTGCGAAAGATGTCGATAATAATAATAATAATAATAATAATAATAATAATAATAATAATAATAATAATAATGGCAACAGTAGTAGTAATAGTCGCTATAGTAGAAGATTCAAAGGGAATTCAAAATAACATAAGGTAGTAAGAGAAAAAATATTGCATAAACAATTTGAAAAAGCATCAAGGAAAAGTAAAGGTAAATATGTAGAAACTGGTTAAAGAAAGAAAGAAAGAAAGAAAGAAGTGTTTAAAGTCTGTTCCATTGAAATGGAAAAGTTTTGAATTTCAAATCTTTTCATGATTGTTATTGTAACATATTGTTAAAGTTGTTAAACGATGCAACAGGGGAAATCTGTTGTCGTAGAACTTTCTATGAAAGAAAGATAGAAAGAAAGAAAGAAAGAAAGAAAGAAAGAAAGAAAGATGCAATTGTGGAAATCTATTGTCGTCGAACTCTTCATGAACTTATTCAATCGTTAATTGAAGAATTAAGATTCATCGGAAAATTCAAATAGGAAAACCATGTCCTCCCTTCTTTAGTTAATTAGTTTTTTAGTTCGCCCGTCCGTTACGCTTTGTCATTACTATTGCTTTCAATCGATGAGACGCAGTAAAATGTATTTTGGTATTATGGTCTTAGAAAAGGATCTCTATATATTTTCAATGGTGCTAGAAAATTACTTTTTTTTAACTTTGCAAGATTTTCCTGTTTAAAGCATCAACACTTTTTAGAGACATAAAGAAACTGCGACTTACAACGATTCTCTTCTCCAAGATACGGACAGATGTTCATATTTAAAAATTCATTTTAAAATACAAAGAAGTAGCTTTTGACATAACCGACTAATGTTGTATTTCATTGATATTTTATTGTGG